GGGTGGGGAGATCAACAAATACTTTGTCAGATATGTTAGCTAAGCAAGGGGTAAATAGGGAAGAATTATTTTGGGCTCAGTTGTGACTCTTGTTTTTCTTTCCTAGTTTACTTGTAAGATTCAAGGAGGGGCTGCAGCTCGCGCCTCTCGCTGGGATGATGTATGAACTCACTCTAAATTTGCCTCTGAATCAATAAATTTATTATTATTCATAAAAAAAAAGGCCATTACCTATTTAAAAAGATGGAAGATAAAAACGGTGGGGAGATTGGTTGCTGACTTATAAGAGAACTAGAGAAGGACCTTTATATATTCATGTAAAATATAATTGTAATTGCACTTTCTTGGTTTGTCGTTGAGATTTTTTTCTTTTTTCTTTTTTCTTTTTTCTTATGAGCATTATTTTCTGTTCGTTCTGTTTCATTTATATTAAAACTCTAAGCATATTGCTTGTTTGCATTGGAGAATGGAGAAAGAAAGTGGATCATGCACATACTAGTCTCTGAACCTAGGCTAGCTAGCAAAGAAAGACATTGTAAACCTAGGAGCACATATTGGAGTGGCTTCTTCTCAGTCGTGTTGTATTAGTTGTAATTAGTAATTACTAGTAGAATCTTCAAGAGTTTGTAATATAGGTTGAAGGATAATTTTCACCAACAATGTTGTGAAAATTTTACCTAGGGTAGTATGAGATGAGGTAACAAGGTTCAACTTCAAGGAGTGGTTCCTTCTCCGTGCTTGACTGGTCCTGGCGGTGAAAGGTTTTTTATGATATAAGTTTTTTAGTTTTGGTGAGAATTGTCACTTTGAGGTTCTGAAAACATTTTATTACAATTGACATTACTAATGATGCATTGATGCTGAGTGGTGCATAATTATATAAAGTGCAAAGAAGAAACAAAACCAAGTTTATGTAACTTTGGATTCTCTCTATGATTTTTGCAAGTCTATAGATGGTGAATGCTCATTAAATCTTCTTTATATTTACAAAAAGATGCACATGGTGTTCATAGTTTCTAAAATTTGGAAACAAGAAAACCCTTTAGGGAAAGTGGCAACATGATGAAGTTTATTTTTTGGTTACATTTATTTGACCATTTATTCAAAGAATTATCATTTGGAATTAGTTTCATTTATAAACTGTGTTTGTTGTGTTTAAGACCCTCCAATCCCTCCCTCGAACCAGGAAAAAAACAGAACAAAAAAGGATTGTGAGAAAAATATTGGTTTTGGAACCCTTGTCCATGTACTCCAATCATATCATATCATACGATCCTTGTCCTATTTCTTTGCAGTCAACCAAATGAATCCATATTTATTCAAAGTTATTCTTTCAAGTATGAACTTCTATTCTTAGCTGTCATTGATTCTGTTTCTCATTAATCTCAGAGCCATAATGGCTGAGTATGCTGGTGCTGTTCTTGGCGTTTTATCTGCAGTACTCTATGGACGGAGGGGCAACATTTGGAAAAAGGTGCACTTGTTGCATATGTTCTACTAATCTAATGTTTTTTAGTTGATGTATTTGCTCATTGTCATTTATGCTAGCATCTGCATGCTAGAAATGCTTGAACAGCCTATTGCTAGTTTTATAACATAAAATTTTGGGAAGAACGAATTCATGGCATTTGGATATGAAAATGCATTTGACATGGTTGAATTGCAAATGCATCCAATTACTGGTTTTTGCATGATTTGTCTCTTTTAATAAATTATTATTATACCTTTTATATGACTTTACTGGTTTCTGCAATGTTTTGAAAATCGTAATCGTATCGTAAATTGTAGGGAAAGTTGAATCGTGAATCGTAAGATTATTTCTATTTTTTACAAACTTGTCAAAAAATTAAATACAGTATTAAACGGCTAAATATTTATAAGAAAGCGACTTTACTCTATTTTTAATCTATATCTACCATATATGTACTTGAAACAATACAATTCAACACTTATACAATAGAAGCCTAAGATGATATAGTCAAGCTGAACTTGAAAATCAAACAAATCTACATACAATCAAGGTTCTAAATATCGATACGCCTGATACGCCAGTAGGGGCGTATTGGGCAGTATCGGTATTGTTTTTTTATTTTTTTTTCAAATCTGGTTCAGGGGGGCCAGTTTAAGGTTCTTCCACCCCCTGAACTGGTCAGAACCCCGATACGCCCTCTGTTGGGGTGTTCGAGGTGCTCCCGATATGATATGTATCGGCCGATACGGGCTGATACGTAACGATTTATTGAACCTTCCATACAATGGCTCTTTAACCTACATATGATAGAAAATAAACTCAATCTCTTGTCTTAAATAATGTAAATAAATAGTTTTCTAGTAAGGACTTTAAAAAAGTCTCCCTTTGGCAAAATTGTATATAAACAAGAAAGAAGTAAACAAAGTAGATAACTAATTCTTAATTGAGTTTATTTGAATCGCAGTGAATTGTAGAAATCATATAGATTGTAAGATTTATGAATCAAATCGTAGGATTCAAAATAAAATTGTAATATTTTTGCAGAAAAGGATTCAGACATAAGATTTGAATCAAAACCCTTGGGATTCATGATTCAAATCGTGAATCGTAGGATTTTGACAACATTGGATTTATGATGTCTATTATTGATCCTTTAGTTTCCATGACACTGACACTAAAAATATATTTATTTTCTCATTAAATTAATTATGGTGGTTAGTGTTGTACCAGGTCGGTGGACTCATTGCAATGATGGCATCATTCTACTTCTTATCTCAAGGGTGGGCTATGGCCACATATTCACCATTCTATATCCTTTGTCTTTTGTGATGCTTAGATATGTAAAGAGATAGCAGATAGGGCCTAGATATCATTTTGTTTTTTAATTTTTGTCCTTGTGGTGGAAACATCATCACTCTCTATATCTGTTAAAACAGCTTGGTGATGATTGTTCATGCCTAGTTTACTGATGAACTTAACCAGAAAATACCTTTTAAAGACAACATTGACACGGAGGCTAAGGCAGAGGAAGTGTTAGGGATGAAGCAAATGATAATTCCTATAATTGCTGGAATTTTATCAGCATTGAGAAGGGTGATCGCAAGACGTGTCTCACTCAAGGTATTGTTATATACTTATGTGGTTCTGCATGCCTGGTACCCAGTATTTCCATTTTAGCTCATTTTACCTGAAGGGTAACATCTAGCAATTAGGTATCTGAAGTATCTGATATAGCCATGGTTTCTTACAGAATCAGCTAAAAAGGCGACTACATGCAATAACTATTACTTCTGCAACATGCTTTCTTTTTCCTTTGGCCATGTGGGACATGATATTAGTAAGCTTATCTCTATAACTTCTACTATTAGATTATAAATTTGTTAGTTAAAACTTAGAGTAGCTATGAGAATCTTCCTTTTATTCAGTTCTTTGTTGGTTGACAATTGGTTGCTTGCCATTTGCTATTTTCTTGGAGTAACTTCAGGGCTCTGCTTCTGGTAGCAGCATAAATTTGCCGTTTTCTACATGGGCTTATTTGAGCACCATTCTTTTCGGAGTTGTCTTAATATTCTATGTTGACAGCGTTGCTGAGGAGAGGTACCTTGCTATGTTTCTCTTACAATTTTCTTTAGCTACTGGCTTTTTGTGAACCTGCTATCATTTTTCTGATTCTACCCCACACTTTAAAAATGAGAAGAGGGGAGAAAGAGAATAGGTGAAAAGAATATTTTTGCATGACCTCTTTACTCAACTGAATTTAATAAAGTCTTCTCAGCCATTTAAGGTCAGTTGCATGAATATCCTGTTTTCCACCATTCCAAAGTCCACACTAATAAAGCAATATCCTCTGTTGAATTATGAATCCTTAGAAAATACAACAATTCAATAGTGCCTCCTTCCAACAATCATCTATTTAGAACTCATTAAGATATAACCAATCAGTAACTGAATGGCTCTTTCAGTGTGATATACAAAACATCAAATCCTTGACTCAAGCATATTGTTGAGCACCTTCACAGTTTTTCCTAGATTGTTTACTTCTCTAGAAAATTGAAGATATAGGGTGCATAAGGTTCAAAATTTTGATATTGTTGTCAACATTTAAGGTTTGCAAATATTGGAAAAGTTGCCAAATTTGGGGAAAGGTTAGGGCCATCCTTTAGGCTATGTTTGGTTTAATGGAAAATAAGACAGAAAAAGAAAGTTGAGGGCTTGACTTTCTGTTTCCTCTTCTTTTCTATCAAACCAAATATAGCCTTAGGATTGATCCTAATAAGTATTTCACAAAATTACACTAAGAGCTTTAGTTCGAATGATGACTAGGAATGGTAAAAGTGGGATGGCTTGAATAATGCTCCTGAAGTTTCTAAAGAAAATTGCCTAGCTGTAAAGATAAAAACAGTTGGTGTACCCGACAAATGGTATGAGTATTTTACTTTGTAATTTATACTAAAATTTTGTTACCTTAAAATTGACAAAATAGTATATTTTAGTTCTTTTATGGACAGTGATAATTAAATCCTCATGATCTATTGCAAAATGCCCTCCCATCCTGTCCAAAAATTGTTATGTTAGTTGTGTTTGGTTTGAGGCTTTGAGCCTGACCCAAGTAAGATCTACTTATGGGCATGCTGTTTGTAAAGGAACTGAAAAAGTGTATCTTATCATGGATTGAATGATGGGACAGGATGCTATTTTAGAAAAAAAATGGCTAAATTCAACAGCCTGTGCCACCAATAGGGCTCTCCCTGCATGACATGTTACTTTGCACAGACTCCTCTTAATAGTACTGGTGCTAGATGCCTTGCCAGTTGAACTAACATGTCATGTAGGGAGAGCTTGTTGACAGCCCAGGTTGTTGAACACGGACAGCCAAAGTTTTCTCTACTGTTTTAAGGTGACTTATGGTGTGACACAACCAACTGCTCAAGGATCTCTTCCCAGCTTTCTACTCCATAGCTTCAAATAGAACATAAATGATGCAAGCTTGGTTCCCATTTGGGAGTACTGTCCTAGTGCAGCATTTTGGCCTTCATAAATTTCAAGGCATGGAAGCCAAAAAGCAATGTTTGGTGGAATTTTTGGAGGGCCAAAATAGTGGCTATCATATGAAGCTTCTTTTTTTAAGCTCTGGGTCAACTTTCTATGTTTTTTCTATTAAGAAATTTTATATAAGTTAAAACCATCCTTATCACTCTTATTTTCATTAAATGTTATTCCTTTTATATGACTATCAATCTATCATTATTTATATTTACAAGAGCACCCAAGTGTTCACCATACATTGCTCGTCTCTTGCAAATTGCTACTACTCAGCTGCTATTATGAAGCAACTCAAATTAAGCTTGAGCCCTTCCAAATTGGCCCATGCTTTGGTGTGGATCAAAATGGTGTGGTTTGACATTGTAGACTGAGAAAAATATAAATGATTGGAAGATTGATGATATGGGCACTTTGTAGGTGATCATGGGCATGACCAAGCCAAGCTTCTAGGCCTACAACTTTAAATACACATATAATATATGTGTATTCCTAGCTGGGCTAGAAACGATCACCCCTATTTTTTTAGTGATGGAGCTCCAATCAAATCATCCATGACCTGATCGTAGAAATGAGGGATATTGGATTTGGGATCCTTCAGAAATCTTCTTGGTTAGCTTTCCTTTAAAAAGATAAAGCTCCAGTTACAAGAGATTTTTTCTAGGCTTGGATGGTAGTGTTAAAAAATGTCTGATTAGAGATAAGCTAGTTGCTTGGTATACAAGTATACCCAACATAGATTGTTCTTGTTAGCTTATTTTCATGATATCTTTGGTGTTGATTGGTGCTTCCTAGCTTCTACTGGAGACAATTGATGGATGGCATTTCAGGAAACTTGGTAAAAAAGAAAGTCAAGGTTTTGAGTGGCCCTCTACATATTTGTATTTGTACTCTTTCCAAAGTGAGCCTTACTACATTTTGGGTGGTATGGAGAGAGGAATGCCGGAATTGTTGACAAGTTTTGGAGTTGTTCTTTGGAGCTCATTGGCCCTCTTTCCTCTTGGTTGTCCATTGACAGTAATGCAAGAGCTGAAGAATCAAATTTGGAAATTTCTAAAATTTTTTTATTTTTGTATATTTGGACAGTATGGGTATTTTTGTCAATTTAACTAGTCCAATGTGGGCCTGGGCTATAACATCTTGTTCCTCTAGTTTAGTATGGCTTGTCTTTCAATTTTCAGTTTATTTTAATTAGTAGATAGAAAGTTATTATGTTTCTTGATGCACAAGACAAGAAGTGGCATTTTTGTAATTATGGTGATCAGTATTCTGGGCCACACAGGCACTCTATAAATAGATGCATTCTCTTCCTTTTGAAGCTAATGAATGAATGGAGATTTCTTTAGAGCTCTCTTGCAAGTTTGCTGTATGGAGTGATTCCTACAAACCCTAGAGTGATTTTAGGACCCCTTGGAGTGATTCCTTGGGATTTCTCTCTCTTTTCTCTTCCTCTACCCTTTCTCCTTTCTGTGTGTGTGTGTGTCTTGTGATAGTTTGTTCCAGCCCTACTGCATCAGTTTGGTATAAGAGCTAATGGTTAGTCACCATGTTCTCACAAAGTGACTGATTCTATAGGCCTAGGTATCATTTAAACAATCTCGTGGGTCTAGAATCAATGATGATAGGTTTTTTGAAGCATGTGAAGTATGGTTGATTTACTTGAGAATTTGGTGGAAGAAAATTGATCTAGTAATGTTGGCTATGGGAGTAAGGTTTTCAACAACGTTAGAAGAGAAAGGGAAGTGCCTAATTTTAAGGGAGGTGAAGAATAAACACATGATATGAGCAAGAGAATTCCCATTCTGGTACTGGAGGTAAAATGGAGAACAGGTTTGTAGAAGCTGCAAAATGGAGGAAAGCGATAAAGGTTGAAGCAAAAGTTTTCATTCTCGAAGAGATAAGGATTAGAGACCAGCAGAGCTTGAAGATTAGGGAGGCAAAGAGAGCCACAATATTGCTGGAAGGTCTTGAAGTGATCAAATGGATGCAGAAGTTTGTTTCAGAAGCAAGTTATAAAAGTAAACAAATAAATTTTACGAAGTTCAACCTTGATGAAAGGAAGAGGTATGAGTTGGAATGCAAAAGGTTGCTACATAACTCTGCAAGAATTCTTTGGGGGAAGAAGAAGCAGGTGGTCTGTTTCCCAGAAAGTAGAAGGGGTAATGGTTGGAAGGTAGTGGCACAGGTACTGAGTGACTTCATTCAGCAGCTGAAAACAAAACAAGTAGAGGATGTAGCAAAGGAAAAGAAAAGGGGAATGCAAAAGAGAGAGGAAGATTCCAGTGACAGAAACTGGTTGATTGCAGAAAAAAGGAAAAAGAAGTTGCAAACTTGCATCAGTAGAAGAGAAGAACTGGGGGAAGAAATTTGTGGTGGAAACTTCAAGTCTACCAAAGGATTGGAGAAGTATTGCACAGGCGATACTCAGAGAGTTAAACCTGCAAAAGCCGATGGTGATTACTCCTTATGCCTCTTGTAAAGCYTTGTTAGATCTGGGTGAAGATGAAGTAGGGATTTCAGCTCTAGTTATTCACTCAAGGCTGGTGGTGCCACAGTCTCGAAATGGTGTCCTCTCTCCAATACCAAAAGTTTTTTGATTGAGGACAATGTAATGGTCAGATTGCTTGGGTTACTTTTCAACCTCCGGAAGGAGGAAGTGTTACAGTCAATAGCTGTAGTCTGTGATGCAAGATTATATGGTGCGTTTGATTGTGATCTCCATTCAGTTGCAGTGTTGTTAAGTGGTGTTAAACCCAGTGGTATTCCAAGGAAGATAGAGGTTGTTTCAAATGGTTTAGTTTACCCTGTTTGGCCTACTACCTCCATTGAAGCTCAGCTATGGAAGGAGGGTAGAAGGGAGGAAGATGAAGGGGCAGAACAGGCTTGGTTGCGTGGTTTGCAAGGCAAACTAGTCTTTACAAGAGAAGTTAAGACAACTGATGTCCCCAAGAAAAAAGAGGATGGTTGAAACACTTGGGGAAAGTCTGCATGGCAGGGTGGGCTGAGGGATGGCAGGTCCTATGTTCAGTTGGTGATAGGGGAATTAATTGGAGACAGGCTTGCTGCAGTTCAAATTTCAAAACAAATTGAACAAAGGTTGGCAAGGTTTCAGGGCTCGAGCCAGTCCTGTGATCCGGCTCAGTCTGGTTCAACGAACCAAGGCCAGTCACACGTTTTTTAATTAAACACATGACTGGCAAGGGGATAGAGGGGTTGGGCCCAGGCCCATCAAGACATAATGGGTCTAGTGAAGTGAATGGGCCGGTTACTATAAATCGAGTGGACCCAGATTTTAAACGCCACGCGCCCTTGAAGTGGGCATGTGATCAAAGGAGCTAGCAAGGGGATAGAGGGGTTGGGCCCAGGCCCATCAAGATCTAATGGGTCTAATAAAGAGAATGGGCTGGTTAATGAAAATCGGGTGGACCCAGAACTTAAAAAATCACGCGCCCTTTTAAGTGGGCACGTGACCAAAGGAGTTGGGGAGATGATGGACCGAAAAGTCAGTCTATCATCGTCTCCCTCGAGCCATTCGCAACCAGTGCTTGCAGGAAGTA